TATCCCTGAAATGAATCCTCCTTCATCTTGATTTGGTGCATTGCATTTGCCAATATTTTATTGAGAATTATTGCATCTTTGTTCACTAAAGAGATTGGCCCATAGTTCTCTTTTTTGATTGGAATTTTTTCTGCTTTTGAGATCAGGTTAATGCTTGCTTGCGAAAATGACATTGAGAATACTGCTTCCCTTTGAGTTTTGTTGAAGAATTTGAGAACTATTGTCACTAGATCTTCTCTAAAGTTCTTGTACAATTTAGCAGTGAATCCTTCAATAACTGTCCTTTACTTATTGATATATATATATATATTAGTTTTGATATATATATATATATATATATATATTAGTTTTTATTCTTATTCTTCCACTTCATGGCCAGTATTGAATTCTTCAGAGTGTTTATGCAAGGTGGTCACTTCTGCTGCCCACACTGTTAGTACAATATTGATTTCCAAGACTTTGGTTAGAAATTTATCATGGACTGTAATTCTTTGATAAATTATACATTTATTTTTTGTATCCTTTGATTTAGCTCAGCCAGCATTTTATTAATGTCCTCAGAAAGCTCCTTGATCATTTTGGGTAATTACTTACTTTAGCTCTTTAGTTACATCTTCTATGATTCCGCTGAGATTCCCGTTGATCTTTTTTGTAAACTTCCTTGTTATCATTCCAAGTAATTAAGGTATGCATATTTTGTTGTTCTCCCCCTTGAAGCACTCTGGATTTGATTCAGAGTGGCTGGAAATTTTGGGAGGCATTCTGTGGCCTTGTCTTCTAGTGTTTCGTGTCTATGTGTGTGTGTGTGTGTGTGTGTGTGTGTGTGTGTGTGTCTGTGTGTTGAAGTTTGTGGCACTCATACTGGAGAGACTTTTCTGCTAGTAGAGATCTATTATGTAGTTTTCTTTTCAATTTTATCATTTTGGCATAGCTGACAATAATCGTTCTCCTCTGCTCCAAGATTTTACCACGTCTTTTAATTTTGGAGGACAGGATATAGCACACTTGGCTGAATACCAAGTTCTTTAGCAATGTGTCCTGGTATTATTAATGTCACAAAGGTAATTTGGAAATTGTCCTGCAGAAAAGTCACTAATGGTAACAATTATGGGACCTGGAAATGTCACATAAATCACCAACAGCAGTATCATGCAAATCATATTGGTTATTAAAATAGATATAGAAGCAATAATGTTCCATGATTAACTATATAGAGTAGAAATCCATGATAGCAGTATAAACATGAATCAACCCAAATATTAACATGCAACTAATAAGTATTAAATACAATATTTATAGCCCTAGTAATTGTAGAAAAAGTTCACCAGTCATTCTATAGTCTTAACCAACCATATAAAGTTTAATAAAACTTCCTGTTTATACTGCTGAAGATATAGAGATTTGTGAAAGGGAGAATGCAAGAAGAGAAATATGAAAGCCCAAACTATATGATATGAGAAGGAGGACAGAGAACTGGGACAAAGTATCTTACCAAGGACTAGAAAGACGTTTATAGAACTAGCTAAATATAACAGAAAAAAGTGATGAGAAATTGATGATAACAGAAAAAAGGAGAAAATAAATTATATAGAGAATAAAAATAAGTGAAGCTTAACAAGAAAGGAGTAGAAAAAGAAAAATGATGTGAGAAAAATATAAGAAAAAATTCTTCCTGATATTAAATAAAGAGCTTCATTTTCTCAGATGCCCTCTGCCTTCCCAGGTTATAAATGTGTCCAAGACAAGAGGTGTCCCTGCTCACACTGGTAGATAAGAAGGGCAGCCAGACCTGAGATCTGTGCTGGAGGCAGAGAAAACAGTAACGACACCAATAACCAAACCAGGATTTTAAAGTCCAAGGCAATTCAGTCTGGCTTTGGCCTCTGACCAAAGGGGCAGATCCTGTGCCCTTCCCAGCTGAGCTCAAACCTTTCATGATGTCCTCTTTCCAGCTCCTTCCCTGTCCAGGGAGCTTTCCTGAGACTGTTTTTCACCCAGTCACTGTGGTGGAGTAATCCTGAGAACTCTGAAGTAAAGCTGTCCCATGGCTGTTCTCAGTCCCCGTTTTAAATATTAAACTCTTTACTGGAATGCCACCCAAACACATTCACTCTGCCAGGATATGGCTGGCATCTGCAAAAGGGTCACTGCCCACTGCTTCCTCTGCAAAGACCCTGTGACAACAGACTCCACACCGTCCCTGCAGATCAGAGTACCTGCTGCTCCACTGAACCAGCTTTCCCGCTTGGGACTTCCTGGAGTTCTTAGGTTTCATGTTATGTATTCAGATTTCATCCCTTTCCCATGAGACAGGACAATAGAGAACTAATTTGTTTCCTTTTCTGCATTCAGGCTGTCTTTTCATTTCTTTATAATTTTTTCTTTTCCTGCCATTTCCTTCTAGGTTTCCAGGGATTCACTTCTCTGTTTTTACTTTATTTTTTTTATTTTGTCCCCAAGATAATATTTTCCATACTCCAAATTCTAATCTTGCAAAAGCTAAATTACTATTGCTCACCACTCTGCTGTTTTGCAGCACTGGAAGTATATTAGGTAACCCACATGGGTTAAAAGAAGGGACCCCGCAGAGCCTCCTTTTGCCTGGTATCAGCCTGGAGTTCCTGGTGAAGTGGGGTTGCACAGCCATTCCTTTTAATTCGGCTAAGTGGTTGTAGTTGGAGGACCAAAGGAAATGATAACCTTGGCCCAAAGGGTAACTGCAACTCAGCAGAGGGAGAAATATTTAATAGAGAACTCCAGGAGCCTACAGAACCAAGCTGTGGCTTCTTCCTTAAGACTGAGGGTACCTGTTCTCCAGAAATGGCACATCCACAGAGCCTGCTTGTTCCCTGGGTCAGCCTTCAGAGGTCCTAAGTGGCATGCTCTCTTCTAACTCAGGCAGGAAGGTGGGGAGTCATACAGAGATAGGAGCAGGTATGGCCAACAGGAAGAAGGAGAAAACTACAGGTGCACAGAGGGGTCCTTTCACTTGTGACTTCATTGCTGAGACACATAGTTGACATCTGCAACTCAGTGGAGGAAAAGTTGACTGGGGCTCATAATTTATAGAGCTTTCAGTCCACAGTCAGCCGGCTCCAAGACAGAAGAACAGAGGCGAAGGGCCTGGTGGCAGGAAAGCTATATACCCCAAGACTTACAGGGAGCAGATAGTGAAGGGGTGCTCCAGGAAGGAAGATACAGCCTGCACTATCACACGCAGTGAGCCTGCTCATCCTAAAAGGCCCCACCTTCTAAGAGCAGGTCAGCTGTGAGCTCCCATGGGCATTCAGCTTCCAAAGGTGCTGCCTATGACTCCATGGGCCTTTAGGGTGAAATCTAGATTAAACCATAACAGGGGTCCTGAATCACAGGAGAGATGGGCACAGGTCCTGCTGTCAGCATCAAAGTCCTCAGAAGGGGGTGACATGATGGACACCTGCTTACTTCTTTTGAGAACCCTGGAGATTTCTGGGAGGTGAAGGACTTGTTCTGAGGTGATGTCTGCCAGTTGGCACAGGGAAACCCGTCTGGTCAGGAAACTCAAAGGTCCCAGGATCTGCCAAAGGTCAGGTGAGGTCCCTAAATGAAGACTGAGCCCGCCTTGTCCAGAGTACGGATGGCGAATGCTCCGCCGACATCTTCCCTGAGTCCTCGGTCATTCTGGGAAGCCTCAGAAGGGCTTTCACTGTGAGGCTTTTGCTTAATTCTGAACTATGGGTCTCAGAGAGATTGAGGCCTTGGTACTAAGAGGCTGAAATCCAGGCAACAGAAGTAGGATCTCGGGGTGTATCAAGGGGCTACGTGAGGGAGAGGGAACCCACTCACCTGGACACACATTACCCTAGCCTCAACCTGTTCTTTCTTTCACCTGTAGTCACATCTGGGAAACACACATTTACTGGCTCATCCCTGACCTTGATTTTAAGGGTCTCACATACATATGGATGAAGTTTAATGAAGGTAGCCTCAGGTCATCCCTGGGAGAACCCCAGACTTTATTAACATCAGGATGGAGTAGGTTCCCTTTCCTGGACCAAATGAACCTGAAGTAATCTCTCTTCCTCCAGATGTTGCTCCAGGCAGCTGTTGCCCTGTGGGTTTCACCTGTTTTGTCTTTTATACCCTATGAGGCAGGGAGACACTTTTGTTTGTAAGCGTTTGCCTCAAGCAAGTAAAGGCCCTGCTCACAATAGTTGAGGACTTTTAGTGAGCACAAAGGGGACCATTCACTCAGAAGAGCAGGAACCTCACAAGGCCCAGCCCACCCCTTCTTTTGAGGATTGGGAGACAGGGACTCTGCTGAGGTCTGCAGCCTGAGCTGTCCCCCATGTCTCTTACAGGAGCTCCAAGAAACAGGAGCGGGAAGTCTTGATCTGAGGCAGTGTCCACAGATCACACAGCAGAGGAGGCCCGGAGTCAAGGTAAGGGGCATGCACCGAGTGTGCACCTGTGGCTCCACCCGCCCAAGGACAGAGGGGAATCCTTTTGCCCAAGCTGCACAATCCCTGCTGCTTGACCTAAAGCCTTCTCTGAGGTCAAGCTGCAGGCTGAGCAATCTCACTTCTTGTCCCAGTTCTCGGAGACAGTGCCCATAGTCAGAACTCTGAGAACACCACACAAAGAGAAAACCAATAATGGGCCTTTCTGGGAGCTCACAAGGGTACTTTTGTTGGATGAGAACACTCACAGTGTCCCTCTCTCCTCCAGGTATCTGAATCCTCATCACCAAGTGCTTGCTGTCCCCACGGATCCTCAGCACATCTTCCTGGTCAGAAGACACAGCTCAGCCAGCTCAGGTGAGGCCACCTTGTCCAAAGAGGGGCACGGGGCCTGGTAGGAGTGCAGCTGTGGAAGGCTGTCAGAGGGGAAAAAGGGCCCACTGCTTCCTCTGGCTCCTCCTCCTCCAGTACCCAAATCCCTGCTACATCAAGTGAAGTGGGTTGGGCTAGGACACCAAGATCTCCCCAGAATCCTTAGGGTGTCTCCTCTCCCCCGCAGTCATGGCCTCCAGTCAGAGCAACCGATCCAGTGAGCACTGCAGTAGGCAAGAAGAGGAGAATCTATGTACCTCCCCGGATTTGCTAGCTCTGCTGTTCCTGTGCCGTCTGTACCAAGAGAACAAGATAGCTAAACTGTTGCCAGTCCTGCTCCTGAAGTATCAAGAGGAGGAACCTGTCACCAAGGAAGAAATGCTGCACAGTGTGGACCCCCGTTACCACGGGCACTTCCCTCTGTTATTCAAGGAAGCCTGTGAGTGTTTGTGTCTGGCCTTTGGCATTGATGTACAAGAACTGGATCCCCCTGGCCAAATATACGTCCTTTTGCCCGTCTTGGGCCTCTCTTATAAGGGGATACTGGGTGACAATTACCAGAGCTTTTCCAAAGTCAACCTCCTGATAGTCATCCTCACAGTCATTTTCTTGAAGGGTAACCATGTCAGTGAGGAAGATTTAAGGGAAGTCCTTAGAACAAGGGAAATGTTACCACAGAAGGGGCACTTTGTTATTGGCGAGCCCTGGGAATTCATCACAAAGGATTTGGTACAGTTACAGTACCTGGAGTATAGGCAGGTGCCCCATAGCAATCCTGCTAAGTACGAGTTCCTGTGGGGTCCAAGGACCCATGCTGAAACCACCAAGATGAAAGTCCTAGAGCATTTGGCCAAGGTGAGCATGCGTGATCCCAGGTCCTACACACATCTCTATGCCGAGGCTTTGAGAGAGGAGCAAGAGGCTGCCCATTCATGTGCTATGGGCCAGTGAAGGGGCAAGGTGCCAGCCAGAGACAGGGAGTGCTCCTCATCACATCACTGTCTTAGTTCCCACACCATGTGAAATGAGTCCCATCCTTCAGTTAGTGTTGCTGGATATCACACTTTTCTAGGTACTCGAGAGCCAGGTGAGAAGTAAAATGCCGTGCATATCATCTCTATGTCTGTACTATTTGGGTGACTTGGAAATGGACTTGTGTGTTCCTGATGACATTTGAAGTCTTGCTCCTTTTCTGCAAGTTCTGCATAGCTTGCCCATGCTATTTGAATGATGGTACTGATCGCATGTCTATTTTTACTTTTGTGATTTTGAAGATTGATTGTCATTTCTGATGTGAATGTGGTTTTGTGTGGTATTGATCACACAGGAATTTTGTTGTTCCTTTAGAAATGTAAGAATATTTGCTCTTTTGTCAAGCCAACTTGGAAAGCTTTCATTTTATTTTGAAGAAGAAACCATAGTATTAGAACAGGATTTTCCTTGGCAATGTGTAAGAAGTTTACAACAAGTTAAATAGAGTACAGAAAAAGATATAAGGATAAAAATCTTTGATTTCTAATGTCTTTTTACCTGTTTTCCTATACTATTAAAATGTGTGTAAACCTGAATGTGTTTCGATTCTTCATTTATATGGGAGAAAGTTACTGTGAATGAAGAAACCCTTCCTCCACCAGGCACACTGGCCCCAAAGCTCCACTGCACGTGTGCTCTTTGGAAGGCCCAGTGTCTGTGGTGGAAATGAGTACATAGACTGTGTAGGATCAAACCTACCCCATAGGATGATGGAATCCAGGAGAACCACCAATGTCGGGATATAGAGGGATTACCTAGAGGAACTGAGGACCATGAAAAATCACTTAGAGGCTGGAGTCTAGCAGAAAGCAGCCCTGGTTGAGTGCTGAGCCATGGGAGTTTGTGTCTTGGTGGAACCACATTTCATTGTGCATGAGTTGATTTTAATGTGTCTGAAAAGTGAGCAGGGTCAGGCCCTCAGATGAGGTGTCCTGGGCCTGAGGTAGAAGCCTCAGAGAATGGAAGACTGTTCTGAGCAGTGCTTTTTGGTGGTGGGTGAAGCTGAAAGGAATCTCTTTATGAGAAGTGTGGTCCTAGACAGGGAGGGAACCAGGGGATTTGTCTCCAGACTCTGCAAGGGTTTCCTGAGAGATAAGGGTGACTCTGAGGTGAAGTGGGGCCCTAAAGTCCCTGGTTCTGTTATGTGCTGGGAGTGTCCACTTTCCAGGGTCTTTAAGTGCCCAGTTGACTGGTTCTCCTATGGACAACTTCTCCTCATGAGTCCCCTTTCCTGAACCGTCTTCCAGGGAGGGTGTCGTAATTTGGTCAGTGGTGAGGGCCTCTTCCACGAGTGATCCCAGCACTGCCTGACCAAGAGCTTCTCTTCCCAGAGAGCCTTCTCCAAGTTCATGAGAGTCTTCCTCCCCTCTTATAGCACGACTTCGTCTGGATCAGTTTTCACATGTTTATTTGTGAACGAAGTTTAAGCTGTTGTTGTTACGGCATGTAATTTGCCTTGAAGATCCATGGACCTGCATCTGTTTTGAGCTGGACTTGTCACTAGAATAGCCAGGCTTTTAGACCTCATTGTCATAGAGGCCTGTGAGCCCCAAGGCTAGAGTTTTGGTGAAGGTAATATGATTGGAATTAGTTTTGTCACTGGAAGAAAGCTGGCAGGGAGAAGGATATAGTTCTCCACCCAAGGTCCTAGAGTATTGAGTTAATTGTTCCCAGTAAGGAAATTCTCTGCAACATCAAATCAAGTAATACAACCAGTTAGAGAGAACACATTGGTAGAATGTTTATTGAGTAGCTTTTTTGCCTGATTTTCTTTTCATTTTCCTATTAACCTACAGCTTCCCTGGGAAACACACACACATTTTATAGGAAAAGGGTCATAGCATCCAGGGACAAGACATACTGGAAGCAGCTGTTTATCATTCAATATATGGTATGTCAGAAATTCTGTTAGGTGATTCGGTATGCTTTTTACATTCCACAGGTCCTACAACCAAAAATATATGTCAAGCTCATTTTATAGATGAAGAACTTGTGTCCTACTGGGCTCTGGATCTTCTCAGGATGTCTGTTTGGTAAATGACAAGGCCAGCATGAGACTCTTAGTGTGACGTCATCTAGTGCCACCTTGTGCTCTCCCACCTTGAATCCAGCTCCGATTCTGAATTTATTTCTATAATTAGAGTAATAAAAAATACCTCTTAAAGTGGAGAACATCCCTATGTCCAAGCATTGAAACCTGGCCTGCATTCAGAATGTGAAATACAGTAGGCAGTGGGTGAATCCTAATCTCAGGGGAACTGCGCAGCATCACCTGTCCTCAAACACATCATGTAGATGGCCCTGCCTGTCCCTGTGCTCATCCTGGAAATGCTCCAATGGTAACAGCCTTTTTGACATAAAAGTTAACTTCAAACTGTGATATTTAGTCGATGGGTTTTGTGCCAGAGATGCAAAAAATATACTCTCAAACTTTCCCAATAAATGATAATCATGTTGTCCTGAAGCATACTATACTCCTTGTCTTCATATATACATTAGGATAGTTTTTGGGACCATCCTGACAATTTAGAAGGATTGCAATGGAAAGAGTTTCAAGAAAAGTTCCCTATAAAAGTCATGTAGGTGCACAAGTTATACAGGTGTCAAAACCCAACGTTGGGGCTGGGGATATAGCTCAGTGGCATAAGCGCCCTCCTGGCAAGTTGCAAGGTCATGAGTTTGATCCCCGGAACCACAAAAGAAAACCAAAATGCGGCTGGGGATTTAGCTCAGCGGCACAGCCCCTGCCTGGCAAGCGCAAGGTCGTGAGTTCGATTCCCAGTACCGGAAAACAACAGCAACAACAACAAAAAAAAACCCCAAAGTTCCCAGAGGTGATGTAGGTGAGGCAGGACCTTGCTCACCACAGTTAGAAGAAAGAAAAACATCTGCTGCAGCTGTATTCCTCCAAAACCTGAAGTCCTCTCAGTAGGTGGTAAGTGCTTTGTCAATCTCAAAATAAAAACAAAAACACTTTTCCTCTCCAGTCTCTCATGTGTGTCTCTCACCACAGGGAAGAACTTATTTTCAATATGCCTAATGGCACTAGTCCTGATGTTCAGACAAGGACAGTTATATGGGCTGTAGAAACAGCTCACAGGTTACCAGACTAACTGTGAATCCAAGGGCGGAGAAAAACTTCAGCCTGCTAAGACTGAGGTTATTGAGACAGGAAGAACAGATGAATGCTGACAAGTGATGAAGTAGACCCCTACTGCTAACATTTTTAGAATACTGTGAAAATACCATTGATTCTGCATCTGAAGCATCTGTCATAGCAGCTGGGCATGTGCAAAAGCTGAAGAACTTCAAGCCTGTCTCACTATCTGAAAACCTCCTCCCAGAGAGGAAGAGAATTTTATTTTAACAGATCATCCTTGTTGCTTTTGGTCATGCACTTTCAATTTGCCGCTTAAGAGTGACACTGCAAATTCTCACTAACACACACCTTATCTTTCCCTCTTTTATAAGATGGGGGAGCAATACAGTCCAATTGCCCTTACGCAGAGTCACTAGATTATCCTATTCCTCTGAAATACTTGGAGAGCACTACTTATTCCATATTATCATATCTGCAAGAGATATTGAATGAGCCCTGGAATGATAGTCATGCCGTGGCCACACACCACACAGACATTTCTGTTTGCACCTTAACAGCTTCATGCATGTATGTCTCTCCCATTGATAGGAATAAGCTGAGTCTTACCTTGAATGTCCTGGGCAGGAGCAGCCTCACAGGTGCTGACTGCAGAGTTTCCTTTGTGCCTCCCCCTCCCCTCAGGCTCCTGAGCACACCTGTGAATGCCATGACAGTTGTGATGTCCTCCCCAATGTGAAGGGCAGGTGTGGCCTAACTCACCCAAATCCCTGTACCAACTGGAGGGTTCCTCCTCCTGTTGCTTGGCTCCATTGACCAGCCCTGTCCTGGACCTGGCCTCGGCCTGCCCAGCTTGGAGCATTATGCTCTCTGTGGCCCAAGCTGGTGGTGATGGTAACATTAAAAGACCTCCACCTGAGGATGCGTGGTAAGAATTATGTTCTTACTGAAGTTCCTCTTTCATGGTTCTGGAGGAGGTATGGTGCACACCAAATAGACATACACAATGAGCAAATTATTCATTCCATGAGACACCAGTTATTCCAGATTCGCTTTATAAGCTGAGCTGAGAAAAGGTACTCCATAGCCAGTCACTGCGATATGACCCTTGATTTAAATAGACACATCTATGAAATAGATCAAAGTGCTTGTTTCATAGCAGAAACATCCACATCCTTGGAGGACTACTCCTCAAGGAATCCGGTTGATCCTTTTCTAAAGCAGTTCTCATGAGAAAGGATGGGCTGTATGTTTTGGCAAAAAGGAAAAAGAAATATCTAAAGCTAGCTCCAAGGAGTTGGAAGAGTCCAAGTGCCTCAGACAGCATCTCACCTTGTCCAAGTGGGTAAGGACCTTTCATAATATCAGATAGAGGGGAACCACAGAGACAATGCGGCCCTCCACCCCTGCCTTATCACTTCCAGGAGGCCTCAGCTCATCCTGCTCTAAACCAGGCTCCAGGCCCCTGGGGCTGATGGCATCTGCATATTCTATCACTTCTGGGGCCTGAAGAGAGGAAGGGTATTCAGTATAAACTCAACAGAAAGAAGTCTGGAATAGTTGCTTATGTAGAAAAGAAAAATGTAACTTTTATAGCTTCATTAGGCATTGCCAGCAGCAGTACCTCAATCAAGGGTGTAACACAGACCTTTTGCCCTCAGGGTTCTGAGCACCTGGTCTCCAGGCCCTTTCCAGGCTATAAAGACAGTTAGTTACCATAGAAACCAGGCAGCGGATCCTCAAGACCTATACAAGGAGATCATCAGGACACTTCTGTCTTCCTAGTATGTAAGAGCATCGCAGCCTTCTTATGAAGAGGGTC